TCTGCGGCATGTGGGATCCTCCCGGACCAGGGCACGAACCCATGTCCCCTGCATTGGCAGGCATATTCTCAACCACTGCGCCACCAGGGAAGCCCGTTGCCATCTTTTTGTTCATGTTCTTTGGAATGGTTTCTTATATTCTAATTTCAAAATAATTCCCTGTTTTTTTGTTTGTTTTTTCAAAAAACAGGTATTTCTTCCAAAACCACATTCTTGTCTGTTGGAATCACTGAGCAGCCTCTGAAGATGTGCCTTCTCTTTTTTCTTCAGGAATTGGTACCACTTCTCATGTCCTGAATTCATTAGCCATCTCCTATGCTGCAGCTGTGACTCCTTCTGCCTTCTGGGCAGCGTCCCCTGACTCTCCTCTGGCACTGGCTGGCAGCCGCCTTGCGGGCGGCTCTGGGAGCCTTGGGTTTCCACAGAAACGTCTGCTCCTGCTAAGAGAATAGTGCCAGTGGCTCCTGTGGTTCCTCACCCTGGATTCCCTCATCGTTTAAGTGAAGAAAGTGAGATTCTGCAACTACAGCCACCTTGTCCTGCGATGGAAAGTTCCCTGGCGCTCAAGGCAGGAGAAATAGTCAAGGGTCTTTGTCCTGCGTCTCATCAGAAGACACAACTTTCAAAGACCGTGCCTTTCCTCATGGGTCATCACAGTGGTAAAGCACTCTTTCTAGAGACCCTCCCCAATACCTGAAGCCATTCTGGCCTCTGATCTAAAATTCACTCAGTAACTGTAATTCTCAAAACCAAAGGAATTTCTCAGGCAGTTTTGACTTTTGGGCCCTGGAAATCTAAGTGCATGACTTCAGCCAAATCATTTAACTTGGGGTCTTTTTCTCTCCTTTTCTTCCTTCAGACCCAGTGTGTCTATTATGGTATGTATTCATTACAGTACAGCACAGAGTGCTTTGACCGCGCCCCCCTCCGGCCCCCACCCTTTGTAAACAGCGCAGGACAGGATTTCCATGTTGTTTATGCGAGATACAAACAGTTATGAATATGGTCCCTCTCCAGATGGCTTAGTTTATTCTAACTTCCTTTCCTTGTTTTTTCTAAAATGTTTGAGTTGCTTTGTGGACTGCTTAACACCACATGGAATAATACTTAATATTTTAATAGAGCTTTATGGGTTTACAAAGCCCATGACATGACTCAGTGAATGCTTTGTATGCCTACTCATCATCCTCTCATTCTCCTTTACAACCCTTTAGAGTAGAAGCCAGTAACCTTCTCAAGTAACTTTTCCTCTATGGAAATTTGGGATTTTCCCATTCAATAATAGTCTGGTGGGAGCCCTATCATCCTCTTTTGGGTCATCTTGGCCCAGTTTTTAAAAATTTTTTTGCCTCTGCTGCACGGCATGTGGGATCTTAGTTCCCTGACCAGGGATCAAACCCACACCCCCTGCACTGGAAGCGTGGAGTCTTAACCACCGGACTGCCAGGGAAGTCCCTAGCCCAGTTTTAATAAAAATTTATTACCAAGTATTTTGAAATGCAAGTGATCACTACATTTTAATTCAGCCTACAGAAAAATCTCATTAACTTGACATTGGCTAATTCAATTTAATGTCTTCTTCAAAGAAATGTCTCTTCACTAGATGATTAGATGGGTTTGCATGTATAATAGCATAGTTAATGCACAAGTGTAAAACTATTATGAAGTTTGAACTGAAAATTTGGCTCAAAGATTTTAAGAACTGGTTTCTTTTGAAACAAACCTTAAAGATAATCTATCATATGGGAATTTGAAAAAGTATAGAAAAACAGTATTGAGGTTGAAATTAAAAAAAAAACTTTTTACCACCATCTGTTAACAAGTACATGATAAAGCACTACTTTTTAAATTTAAAAAATAATTCTCTCCTAAATTTCAGATGAACAAATTCTTATGATAATTGTCTTAAAATTATGTCACTATTTCAGTATTTTATTTTTTTAAAGATCTATTTATTACTTATTTATTTATTTTATATTTGGCTGCATGAGGTCTTAGTTGTGGCATGCAGGATCTTCATTGAGGCATGTGGGATCTTTTGTTGCGGCACACGGGCTTCTCTCTAGTTGAGGTGTGTGCGTTTTCTTTTCTCTAGTTGTGGCACGCAGCCTCCAGGGAGCATGGGCTCTGTAGTTGTGGCACACGGGTTCCAGGGCACATGGACTCTGTAGTTTAAGGCACACGGGCTCTGGATGAGGCGCGTAGGCTCAGTAGTTGTGGTGCGCAGGCTTAGTTGCCCTGTACACGGCATGTGGGATCTTAGTGCCCTGACCAGGGATCGAACCCACGTCCTCTGCATTGTAAGGCGGATTCTTTACCACTGGACCACCAGGGAAGTCCCTAATTTGGTATTTTAAATAAAACCTGATAATTGAACTAAATCTGTTTCTACAAAAATTAAAGGTTTTTAGAAATTTTCAATAACTTCCTCATTATTAGTGCTATTTAAAAGACAATGCCATGATATTGGTATAGGGCAAATTATTTTATGATGAAGTACGATGAATTAGCCTAATTCTTTTATCCTATAGGAATTTTTTTTTTTTTTTGCGGTACGCGGGCCTCTCACTGTTGTGGCCTCTCCTGTTGTGGAGCACAGGCTTCTGGACGTGCAGACTCAGCCGCCATGGCTCACTGGCCCAGCCGCTCCACGGCATGTGGGATCCTCCCGGACCGGGGCACGAACCTGTGTCCCCTGCATCGGCAGGCAGACTCTCAACCACTGCACCACCAGGGAAGCCCAGGAATTTTAAAAATATTAAATAAGTACATGGAGCTTAGAAATTGGTTTTATCTGGCCAATAGTAAAATAATTTAGACATCAGCTGATTACTTAAAATTAGTGCATAGCTTAGTCTTCAACCTAAGATTACCTATGATGACCACTTACCAAGTTTCTAGTTCTGTTAGCATTACCGAGTTTTCCGGATACTGTGCTGAAGGTGTTTCCAATAGGTTTTTCAGTAGGGAGAGGAGGTGGGCTTTGTGGATCCTCCTCATGTGAACCTGGAAAAATAGCAGTAATTAATTAATCAATAATTTCTAGTCTTCTGGGGTTTCAAGGGATGAAATGATTACAGCTTGGTTCGCTATTAGGAAAATGGCTATTGTAAAAGATCCACACAAAGAATGGATAGCTAAGCAAATGAGAAAGATATCCTGGCAAACCTCAGAAAATTGATGAGTTAGTAGGCATTGGTTAATTTTTACCAAATGTTTTATAGAGATTAAAAATTATACTAAATAATTATAACAGCAAGCCAGCACTTGTTGAGAACCTTCTATGGGCCACACATTAAGTTAAGGCACTTTATTCATATACATTTCTCCAAACCAACCTCAATCTAAGTGCTAGATCTGTTGAGTCTACTAGCTAGTAGCCACATGTGGCTGTTGGCTACCATATTGGACAGCACTATACTAGATAATATCCTACCCATTTTACAGATGAAGAAACTGAAGCTGAGAAGAAAATAAATGAGCTAGCCAGGTCTAAATGCAGTAATGGTCAGATGGTTTGAAACCAAAAGCCTGTACTCATTGTAGTAAGGCATGCTGCTTCCTAATAGGTGGTGTATCCAACCCTCCCCCATCCAAATAATTAAATGTGTTTTCTAGTATATTGGCTCCAGATTAATGGGCTTAATTGCTCCCATTTTTGTTACAAGCAATAACTTTACATCCAAACTACATCCTTAACCCAGAGATAGTGCACTCCCAACTTATTTTAAAAAGAAGAAACAAAGATGACCAGATTTAATTAGTGACAGCTAATTAAAATCTGTGTGCAAAACACTTGGAGAGAGGATGACTGTAACGTACTAAAGGAGGCTAAAGCCACCTTTTACTGGTTTGGGCATTTAAAGGAGAGATAGGAATTTTTCCCATTCAAATGAACACTCTCTGCTTCCATTTCACATGAAAAACCTCTAACAAAACAAGAGGATGATTTGTCAGGTTCCTGTTTTATCCACAGACAGGAAAACACTCTCAAAAGGGGAAAAACACCCAGGCCAGCTCCTAAGAAAACAATGACTTAGAGACAGACGAGCATTCTTAGTTGAGAGGCAGTGCTGCGCGGGGAATTAAGACACACACAGGGACGGTCCAACTCAGTCGCCATCTTGAAGATTTTCTCTGTGCTGCAGTTTCCTTACTGAAGGGTACAAAGCAGTAAGAATATGAAAGCAGAGAGGAGACAACTTATGGGAAGGAAGGGACACAGTAATTATCTGGTGTGGGTATGTGGGGGAGGTGGAGATTTTCAATTTCAAACTATGTGGTCAGCGGAGTGCTCAGTGAGAAAAGTGGCATTTGAGCAAAGACCTGAAGGAACAGTGAAGGAGTGAGCCATGCAGAGATCTGGGGAAAGGACATCCTAGTCAGAAGAAACAGGTCCCCAGGGGAAGAAGCTGACAGGTTCAGAGCAAGGAGTTTTGCACCACAAAGCTGTTCCTTTCTTTTCTTGTCCATTCCAAGTTCTTTGGATACCAAAAGTCTTATTTTTTTCCCTCCACAGCAATATATGCATTGCTTAATAATCGTAATAAAAAAATTCTGGGGAACTGGTTTTTGATATACATAGAAAGAATTCTCTAGGAACTGGCACTTCAGTTCTCTCACATATAGCAGTACAGAACTCAGCTTTCTAATAGTTCCTGGAGCTTTGTCAGGATAATAAATAAAGGTGCTTTCTCAATATACCCTTCTCAGGATTTCAGGATTATTAATCCAATTTCTAAGTGTGTAGAAAAGAGTAAACATAGCAGGCCTGAGTTACAAGGTTGGTCCTTGCTGGCACCTAGCAACTTGGACTTTGGGACGCTTCGCACCATTTCTAGAACAGATAAAAGAAAAGAATATGGTTTATGCTGAACACCTGCTTTCCTTCTGGGAAATCTGGAATTTTGGTACATGGCCAAATTCCTAGAGGTGTCCATGTAACCAGCCCCCAACAAAAAACCTGGGTATTGAGTCTCTAATGAGCTTCCCTGATTGACACTTTACATCTGAGTGGAGTTAGGTACACCCTGTGTGACTCCACTGGGAGAGGACTCCTAGAAACTTGTGCTGGTTTCCTCCAGACTTGGCCCCGGGCACCTTTTTCCTTTGCTGATTTTTCTTCGCATACTTTTGCTATAATAAATCACAGCCACGAACACAACTATATGCTAAATCCTGTGAGTCCTCCTAGCAAATCATCAAACATGGGGATCTGGGGGACCCTGACACACAGGAGAATACATTTAAATGTAAAAGTTGTATTACATAAAGCCACATGAGCTTCAGGTAATATTTATTATCATTCTATCTCACGCAGCTTATTAAAATCGCAAATACTTTTTTTTTTAATGCTTGGCTTTTTTTGTTTGTTTGTTTTTGTTGATTTATTTATTTATTTTTGGCTGTGTTGGGTCCTCATTTCTGTGCAAGGGCTTTCTCTAGTTGTGGCAAGCGGGGGGCCAGTCTTCATCGCGTTGCGCGGGCCTCTCACTATCGCGGCCTCTCCCGTTGTGGAGCACAGGCTCCAGACGTGCAGGCTCAGTAGTTGTGGGATCTTCCCAGACCGGGGCTCGAACCTGCGTCCCCTGCATTAGCAGGCGGACCCTCAACCACTGCGCCACCAGGGAAGCCCCCAAATACTTTTAACAAGGTAACAGTGAGCAGGCCGACAACCCGATGAGCTGTCCTGTCACTGATCTGTAGGCTATATAATACTGTCAAAAGAAACATATGACCAGTTCTTCAGTCTAACACTACCATATAAGCTCCTAAGAAGTGAGAATTTGGAACCCTTGACTTTCTCTCCTCTTCATTCTTCATAGAAACTCTGTTCAATCTTCTCACTATTTGGCTTAGAGCCATCAGTTAATAAAACCATCAAGAGACTAAAACCAATATGATTCTTCTAGGTAGTACTTTATAGAGAAACCATACCCCTAAACTAAGTTTCATGGCATTCCAGAGGATGCCTACAGTGTAACCCTGGGATGCTGCAGGTGAAGGACTGGGACACTTGCTCTGCTGTTGGCAGGAATGGAGTGGCAGAATCTCGTTAGACAAAGGCAAGGATGCAACTTGGATGCAAAAGCACTAAAGGAAATGAAAGGAAAGCAGAGGCTCACAGAGAAAGCTCTGTGATCACCCAGGAACTGCTCTGGAACCCACTGTATGTGCATTCATGTGCATACATACTCACGCTTTTTCTAATCTCTAGAGCCCAAGGTAAACAGTTCTGGCCCTCTTGGCTTCTCTCTTATGATAATATCAGATGTATCAGATGTATCTGCAGGACTTATTAAATAAAATTCATCCAAAATTTCATTTATCGTAACACTGAAAAATCAAGTAAGGAAGTGTATGAAAACGTAGTGTTAAAAATCAAGTAAGGAAGTGTATGAAAACGTAGTGTTGGGGCTTCCCTGGTGGTGCAGTGGTTGAGAGTCCACCTGCTGATGCAGGGGACGCGGGTTCGTGCCCCGGACCGGGAAGATCCCACATGCCATGGAGCGGCTGGGCCTGTGAGCCACGGCCGCTGAGCCTGCGTGTCGGAGCCTGTGCTCCGCAACGGGAGAGGCCACAACAGTGAGAGGCCTGCGTACCACAAAAACAAAACAAAACAAAACAAAAAAACCCCGTAGTGTTATACAAATTAAAATAATATTTTTATACACTGTTATGTTTTTATAACTCTTGGTTACTCCCCTTCAGACAATTCACACATAGCTATATTTAGATTAAGCTCATTGGAATAATACATTCCTGACAGACATATACAACTGTATTTGCTATCAGTTTCAAAACTTTCCTACCAAATCTTTACTACTGGCACTAACATACGATATTACAATTACTCTGAGTTTCAGCCTCCCTCTATTCTTTCTGCCTAAGACAATGTTAAAGAGAAGTAAAAACCAAATTTACTGTACTGAACTTCCCTGGTGGCACAGTGGTTAAGAATCCGCCTACCAATGCAGGGGACATGGGTTCGAGCCCTGGCCTGGGAAGATCCCACGTGCCGCAGAGCAACTAAGCCCATGTGCCACAACAACTGAGCCTGCACTCTAGAGCCCGCAAGCCACAACTACTGAGCCCGTGTGCTGCAACTACTGAAGCCCGTGTGCTCTAGGGCCCATGTGCCAGAACTACTGAGCCTGCACGCCTAGAGCTCATGCTCTGCAACAAGAGAAGCCACCGCAATGAAAAGCCCGTGCACTGCAACGAAGAGTAGTCCCCGCTCGCCACAACTAGAGAAAGCCTGCATGCAGCAACAAAGACCCAATGCAGCCAAAAATAAATTTAAAAAAACCAAAAAAAAAAAATTTTGCTGTACTAATTGTCTAAAGAATTATGAGAAAACAACTTGCTTTTAAATGTTCTCGAGGGGAGGACCTTCAAGATGGCGGAGGAGTAAGACGTGGAGATCACCTTCCTCCCCACAAATACATTAAAAATACGTCTACATGTGGAACAGCTCCTACAGAACACCTAATGAACACTGGCAGAAGACCTCAGACCTCCCAAAAGGCAAGAAACTCCCCACGTACCTGAGCAGGAAAAAAGAAAAAAGAAAAAACAGAGACAAAAGAATAGGGATGGGACCTGCACCTCTGGGAGGGAGCTGTGAAGGAGGAAAAGTTTCCACACACTAGGAAGCCTCTTCGCTGGTGGAGATGAGGGGTGTGGCGGGAGGGGGGAGCTTCGGAGCCGCGGAGGACAGCACAGCATCAGGGCTGCGGAGGGCAAAGCGGAGAGATTCCCGCACGGAGGTTCGGTGCCGACCGGCACTCACCAGCCCGAGAGGCTTGTCTGCTCACCCGCCGGGGCGGGCGGGGCTGGGAGCTGAGGCTCGGGCTTCCGAGGTCAGATCCCAGGGAGAGGACTGGGGTTGGCAGCGTGAACACAGCCTGAAGGGGGCTAGTGCGCCACAGCTAGCCAGAAGAGAGTCCAGGAAAAAGTCTGGAACTGCCTAAGAGGTAAGAGACCACTGTTTCGGGGTGCGCAAG